CGGGGGAGGATACCCCCGGACCCCCCTACAGGGTTCTGGTTTCCAGACCTTCAGCCCCACCTACTATTTTTCTCACCAGCCGCCACTGTATATATATATATGTAAAAGAAGAATCATATCAGTCATATTTTGACACAAGTGAAAGAAACAAAACTGAATCAAACCTGCTTTGTCTTCACTGACTTAAGCGAAGATTTGTCACCTTTCTCCTTGCTGGCAATGAGTGCTTCAGTGACATCAGAGGTCCACTTGATCTGACTAGCTGTGATGAGCATCTTAAATAGGAAGAATACAGATTAAAAAAACAAAACAAAAAAAAAAAAAAAAGTCAGAAAATTCAGTTTGAATAATTTGGTAAGTCAAATAGTGTTAACGTTTATTATAAAATGTATAAGTGATGTAATTTGCAGCAAGATAGAACCTCAACAGTCAGAAGGGTGACGATTCAAAAACAGGATGTTCATTTTAAAATGGAAAAGGAACAGAGAAAATACACCTGTCCTGGAAATTCATCGACCCATTTGTCTCGTGGTCCTTTTATCCTCCTCAGATTTGCGAGGCAGTTGCTCAGAGAGCCCTTCAGTGTATTATGCATACACTTCTCAATGTCACACAGCCAAACCTAAACGCACACAAAACAAAACGCTGCTCACATTCCCCATCATACCTTTCTTTATTTTATTCAATAACATCATGACTTCTGCAAGATTTGTCACCACAACAACCCTATCAGATTACAATTGTCATAATAATTACTGCTATACCTCCACAGGTCTGCCCAGCTGCACTCCAGAGCTCAACGAAACACACTCTCCATCAGCGGAGTACATCTCCAAAGCTTCTGATTTACTGCCCACCTGCAAAACACACACATACCACACTGGCAGCGTTGCGTGGGCATCCCGGTTTGATTTGGTTTCATATAAAAACAATTAAAAATCTGACTTGCAATTGAGTATAATTCTGAAACGAGGTCATAAAAATAGTAAAATGTAACCCAGGTGCTTCTGCAGATAAATGCTACCATCTAGATTTTTTATTTTTATTTTTTTAAACAAGAAAAAAAGGTTCAATTTCAAAATGTGTTTTCACTGCGCATAATGTAGTTTCATATATTACAAAACTAGGTCAGGTGTATCAGCACAGAACACTCATTATTCTGTCTGTAAGAAGTGGTGTAACAAAGTAACCTGCAATAAAAGAGTGAAATATTCTTACCTTACAATATGTGTCTGCTTGGCTATCTGGATCTGGTTATTTTGACACACTTAGCTACACTGGCTTACACTGAAGATCTTTTTACGTAGCCTTGAATATGTAATATTTTCCATTAATAAAATATAGCTTGCTCAATGGCTTTTCTAAACTTTGTGTCCGATTAGTTCCAAAAAGTAAATCAGTTGCAGCTAAGAAGTTAAGGTAAAGAAACACCAGTTATGTATTGTGAAAAATTTTATCTACTCTTAGTTTACTCAGGAGTGTACCACTGGCCACTGAGTGTATGTGTGTATATCGAAGTTCCCTGCCTTTTTAATGCCCAGGCTCTTGATGTTGTCGAAGCACTTCTTCATGTGAGGCTGCATGGCTTCTGGGTTCTGTGACTGTCCCAGAATCTCTAGTAAATCATCATTGGACAGGAAATAGAATCTTGGGAAGATCTGCCTCTTGGTCTCCAGGTACATGTCCAAGGCCTTCAGGATTTCCTCCAGCTTTGCACTCATCTCTGAGAGCTTCTCTGGCAAGCCTGAAATACAGAGAAATTGATCAAAGATTCAATTCATTAAATTCTGAAAAAAAAAAAAAATTTTCAACATAAATTAGATGACTCACAGGTCTGATCTGACAAATGCCACCATCACAGGTCTGTTTCTAAGCATATTTAAATCTTTATGTCTTCATATTGTCAAATATGAGACACATTTCAAAATAGCCTCAGATGCAGCACAGTATAGCACACGAAAAACATCTCAACATTGAACAACACAAGTTTTAGGCCAACATTTCATCCTTAAACTCCAGAAATTTGATTATAAACATTTTTGCAAAATCATTTTTAGAGCTTGAAGACTTCAAGGATAAGCTGACAGTGTGGTAGATTTAAAAAACACATTTTTTAAAGAAACAAGGTATGTTGTTCTACCGGGGTGGTGTGTTCCCCGCAAGGCATTGCTATCCTTGTGAAGATGGTCCATTATGGTTTTCCAACTAGAACTTCCATCTTCAAAGTCTTTGCACTCTTGAGGCAGCTGCTCCCTGATGTCCTTTCCTTGGAAAATGTTCTGAGGTAATGGAAAAAAACAAGAAAATACTCAGTACACTAACAGTCCAACTAAATTATACTTTAATCAATATACGGATTGCCAGATGCCCTCCCTCGGCATGTAAACAATAATAATTGTATTTCATCAAATGAATATTCACACAGAATGAAAAGCAAACCAGCAAACCATGAATATGCAGTTCATCGGCATGTGAGTACGTTTCCTGTACCTCCAAGTAAATCCAATGACGTTGCACATTAAGAATCATCTCAGTGACTTCCAGTACGTGTGACAGCTGGCGTACCCAGCGGTCCACCTCCTGCTCGAAGGCTTTGACAAACCGAGATGCCTTCATTGTGGACAGTATAACCTGATTGTCGTCCAGGACCTGGAAAAGCTCATCCGTGCCCCTGGGAGACAAGGAGGGAAAGCATAACTGCTAATGACTGGCAGTATTTAAGGATGGAGTTATATACAAAATATGTATTTCTCATATATATAGAGTGCTTAACAAATGTATTAGACTGTCTAATTTGTTAAGCACAACATATACACTATGGTTTATTCTTGATAGATAAAGTGTTCATCTTCTCAAAACTTCATTGATATCATAATAGACATACAATACATATCACAGCAAAAAATTAACCAGAATTAACTTTTGCAAACTGTGTATTCCTTAAACAAAATTGGGTGTATTGAACAAATAGATCAAAGGTTTTGTTTAAATTTTTCAACCTTGGTCATATAACAGGAAACACATATTAGGGGAGAATGTCCAATACTACTCTTTCAAAAGTCACTTTGGCAATTTTAAAAAATACTGAAATGTGTAATATTTATTTCCCTATGTGATCTTTAAGGGATCTTTAAGACCCTGTTCGCAAACTTAGAAAAACACTCAGTTAATGTGAATAATCTTCATTTGATTGCATATGATGAATGAATTTAAGAACAAACGATTCTCAGGAACTTGTGGAAACCTATCTTGCAAAATGAAATGAATGAAAATTTCTCTGAAGGTGGCCAAGTTGTTTATATCAGCTGTCTGTTTTGGCAGACACCTCAAGACTAATTTGGTGGCCAGCTTTGAATTAGTTGTAGTCAGAGGAGGTCCAAGTCATGAAATTTCAAAAAAATCTGTTTAATAAACTGCTGAATAAATTCTTTGGTGACCACATGCATATATGACAGCAACCATTTATATATCTTTTTTTTTAAAATAATGTAATTGCATTCACAGACGGGGCCAGATTAGAATGTGGCAGTGCAGGATGTTGGCGACACAACAGTCTATGAAGTGAAGCTGCAACCTACTTCCAAAAACTGCTGCTATGACTGTAACGAAGAATTGTTTTGGTGAACCCTTGAGCTAACACGATTATTTGCAAGGTGGCACAGTGGTTAGCACCGTCGCCTCGCAGCTAGAAGATCCCCAGCTCGCGTCCCGGTCAGGACACCTGGGATCTCTCTGCGTGGAGTTTGCATGTTCTCCCATGCAGCGTGGGTTCTCTCCGGGTTCTCCAGCTTCCTCTCGCAGTGCAAAAACATGTTGAGGTTAATTGGTGATTCTAAATTGTCCATAGGTGTGAATGTGAGTGTGCTTGGTTGTCTGTCTCTAAGTGTAGCCCTGTGATAGACTGGCGACATGTCCAGGGTGTCCCCTGCCTTCGCCCTAAGTCAGCTGGGATAGACTCCAGCCTCCCACGACCCTAGTGAGGATTAAGCGGTGTATAGATAATGGATGGATATTGATGGCACAAGCACTCCCTTCAGTTGGAGGGAATTTTTGCTTGCAATATAATTATAACTTGTTAAGCTCTTTGCCGACCCCTGTCCTGAAGGCTCCCTTTCTTACCTCAGTTGGTAGTAGCCTTTATCTTTATAAGGTGCAATGTCCAAGTCTGTTTCCTCCCATGTCTTGGTAATGGCTTCCAGACTCTTTAATATGAAACGTAAGGAGTAATAGTAATAGACAGAAAACATCACTGAGAACAAGTAAAATGAAAAGGTAAGATTTCTGTTCTCTTTCATCTTGCTTGTTGACACGTATGTATGACTAGACTACCAATACACGAGAATCATGAATTTAAGCTATGAGCTCTACTGCTTGCATTCATCAATGGGGCACGTTTTAGAAAAAAGCATAATGACAGAATTTCATTTTTACTCTCTTGTTTTTACTCTACACAGTATGACATTTCTTTATTGGCATTCTTTTCTTCTTGGCATTTCTCTTTTGTTCTATAGTTTCTGTTTGTCTTTTGGGTTTTTTTTGTCTTTTATTCCCTTATAAATATGTCTGTAAAGTAAAATAGCACGCAGTTATGTCAGTAATATCAAAACTAATAGGCATGGATGGCTGCACAACCCTAAGAAGGAAGCATTTCTCTGAAAATTAATGCATTTCAATTAAAGAATCTGATAGATTAATCATTTTTCTCTGCTGGCTATATCCCATCAAAATAATTGCAGTCATTTCAGTTTCAGGCTCCCCTTCACTCACAGTGCCCAGAATGCAGTTCCAATTTCTAACTGCACAATTACCTGCTGATTTACTAAATTAACTGCTAATTACATGCAGATTGCAAGTGCTAATTGCATGAAAGGCACAGCGCATATTTGCTCTGTGCTTCTGTGGGCAAAGGCCTGGCCCTAAAACTACACTGATGTAACCTCAATGGGTACTAAACAGAGAACAGCAACTCTGAAGGCAGGGTGGATGTGAGCCAGCCTGCTACACTGCTGACTTTGCTATCCATTTCCAAGAGAAGACCCAAGTTAGAATGAAAGGAGACAGAAAAGCTACAAAAATGCCCACTGAAGGCCAGTCTTGACAAGTAAAACAGACCGACCTGTTCTATGTACAGCTCCTTGCTGGCGGCTCCAGAGATCTCACAGATTTTGTCAGGATATTTGTCAAGACCCAGTGATATGATCTTCTCCAGGGTGAATTCAGCACTGGTTGGGTCCAAAGAGAACTGCAGCTCCTCACAGATCTGATTCCAGTGCCTGAAGGAAAGGTTGCATTTAAAGTTAACTTAGTGTTTGTCTCAAATTACCCTGCTGGCCAGCTGAAGAAAAAGTATGGGTGAATGTTTGCACCTAGTTTACACAGATGACTTGTATCAGGTTATTTACTACATGTCAATACCTCTTCACTTACAAACTGCCAGTAAATTGTGTACTATAAAAACAAAATGCAGCTTTAACATGTTTATTACATTTTAAACTAACATATTTATTGTACGGACTAGGAATGCACATGAGATTTTACTATTGCTTTATGAAGTTCATGAATCTCTCTCCTTATGACCACTGTGGTTACAGTGATATACTAAAGTACTAAAAGAGCTACAAAACTGGGATATTTGTGGAGTGCTGACATACAAATATAGAGCTCTCTGGGTGTGACAGATGTTTCACTGTGCTCTGCAGGAGCATCATTAGCACCCTGACTGACATAACTGACAGATGGCGCTAGGAGAAAGATGGAGGCTGTAAAAGAGGGAGCAGAGACAGAGCAGAACCTGTGCCAGTTAACACTCTCTGATCATTCTCCTTGTTTTTAACCAAGGCAGCAGTGCTCTCATTTGAAACCAGGTAACTTAGATCTACTTGATGCTGACCACAAAGTGATGGCACCCTTTTATTCATTGCTGTCTTTCTCGCATGCTTCTTTTAATCGCATTTTGGTCATCGCTCTCGGTTGTTTTACAGCACTGCGTCAGACCTAATTCTATATCTATTTATATCTATTCCCCAAGCACAGTGAGTCAAGGAAGGCTCCTTCACAAAGTTACACTAGTTATTCAAAAACCTAATATTGTCAACATTTATCCCATGCTTGTTTTTGGTTTTGTACTAAATGAAGTCATCCTTGCAACAAACAAGACATTTTAGCAGTGCAATTGTGACAAAATAGGCAAAAAAGGAAGTTTATCTTAGCATGCAATGTGTTTGAATTTTAATGAAAAACCATTCTCCCAGATTGAGGACAGGGTACAGCAAAGGTCTGAATGATCCTCTGGGAGTTAAACTCCAGATACAGGTGAAGGGAAACAAGCCTTAGATGAAGACCTTGGGTAGAAGGCAGCAGGACAAAGGAGTAAACTAGAATAACATTAGTAATGTGCTTATTTTGTGTGGACTGGGCAACTGTCCATCCCTTCAGTCAAAGCTGTAAAACCTGTATCTGTACAACACAGTCATCACATAGATCATTTATCCCACCTCTTTCTAATAAGGACAGAAAGCATTAAATACTTCTCTGACATGCCCCTGTCATGTCCAGTTAAATACAGACAACAATTCTTAGATTTCCTGAACGGAGACACTTTGGTCCAAGTCATACCTGTCTCTCATGGCTGGGTTCTTCAGATCAGCAATGACAGGGATGATTTGCTTGAACTGGTCAATTCTCTTTCTGGAGAAATCTAAAACGTCCCACTCCTTATCCTGAAATCAGACAAAAATCCTGTCGTCGCTACTGTGTAATGTAACTGTGATACCAGCTCAGGGGTATATTTAGGGAGCTGTGCATTTTATAATATTAGCACCGTATTTTGTACATTATATGACACTAAAATGCAGGTCAGGCAGGGTTTGTGGGTCTGTAATTAAAATATAATACATTTTACACTTTGCATCTATTATAAACATAAAGTGTCATCATGTGTTCTTTCTACATAGTCCATGATAGAAGTACCTAACTGATAACATTTTTGCACAAATTATTATGCTGAAGTAAAACTTCAACTGCCACTTGTAATATATTACTGCTAAACCGTAACCTTGGCACTGTAGCGGAACACTAGAATCTTTGTAATAAACCCTTTGTGGGTGGCAGAACTGACCTTGAGATCTCTCTGGAGTTTGTGGAGTTTTTTGAACAGGTCCTGAGCTGTGCTTTCCATGGTGACTGTCTGTAGCGTAGCAAACTGGCCAACCTTCCAGATGTTCCAGTTGCTATTCCATTCCTCTGTGATGTCCCAGACCTGCTGCAGTTGGTCTATATCCTGCACAACACAAACAAACACAAAGAAATATGTGCAAAAACAAAAAACAAAGTTGATACACCTTGCATATGCAACAAAAATGATCACTTTAAAAACTTGCTATATTTGGTATTAGAATTTAAACTACCTTTGTTGCACAACTATATATCATAGTAATCCTTTCTGGATTAACTGCTTATTATGCTGTAATCTGTAAAAACTAAAGCATGTTAGGATTACAAGCGTAGTACTGCTTCAAACCTTCTCCAACGTCCGGATGGTTTTGGAAGGAGGCTGTTCTATTTTGAAGAAGCCCAGCCCATTGAAGATGCTGTTCTCTTCCTGTTTTAGAGTCTCAAGTTGGTTGCGAATCTCTGCAATTTGCTTTAAGGCCAACTCAGTGCTCAGAGCACTGTGTAATGGACCTGGATGTGCAAATCCAAAAAATGTGGGGAGATACACAAACATTAAAAAACATACAAACAAAGAAACATGCATATCTATATATCCATACACAAAAACAGAGGGCAGACATATTATATATTGCATACTATATCACTGTGGTCAGTAGTTATGAGCACAGATTTGCATATAAGGAAAATATTAAACAAGGAATATACATCTTATGTTCTCCAAATCCACTGAACCTGGTATCTGCCTTGAGAAAGAAGATTTAATCATACAGTTTCTTTAACAAGTAGTATCTCCAATTGTGCTACTAGTAACTGTAAGAAAACGTTCTCAACTTCTTCATGAAAACTTCAAAATTTACAGAATTACAGATTTTTGCATGAGTGTGACTAAGCACCTTAGTTTATATCTCAGGTGTTTATTTCTTGGTATTAGCAAAAAAGAAAAAAGAAAAAAGAAATTGTCATCATTTTATAAAGCAATAGTGTTAAATTTTAAATAAATTTCACAATATAGACTTAATTACTTATAGAAAATGTTATCCATATCAGCCACCCTTGTAACACACAAGATGAAAAGGAAGAAAGGGAAGAGAACAATGGTAGTTCCTTTTAAAAATCAAAAGAGATAAGACAGATTAACAGGGTGTAGAAAAAATAGAGGGTATTTTTCAAAAATAGACTTCAGATCATGATGAAAAACACTTGGTGATGATGTATACAAGTGTTTGGAAGAGAGAGAATGTGCGACCTTTGGTGTTGAAGTCCTGTACTGCAATTTCAATCTTCTTCTTGAACTCTTCAGAGGAGAGAATGAGGTTGTTCTTAAACTTTTCCTTCTGCTTCTGCAGCATGATATCACTGTCAATCAACACCTGCTGGAACCAATCCCACTCCTTATTCAGCGCATCCCGCATTTCCTGCACCTGAGGGTAAACCAAACAGGATTGGCATCATTACAATAATGATGACAGGGAGTGTTTTTATAAGTGCTGGCTTATATATAGATGTACAATAATCCTTGAGGCGTATAAAATACAACAGATTTCATTATTTGACTTCAGGGAACAAAAACAATTTGACAAGCTGATCTTGATTAGAGAAGACAGATTTATGTTTATAAGAACGTGCTACTACAGTCTGTTCTGGCAATATAAACCAAATGAGCAAAAGGTATTTTTCTCACTATTATTTTAAACAGCAGTGCAGGATATGAAAGGTATTTTATGTGGAACTTTACATAGTAGATATCTCCTTTCAGAGAAAATTTGAGAGATGTTACAATATGCAAACACAGCGGTAAAGTCACTTTTAGTTGTATATAAGGCTCAGTTCATTTTATTTGCATGTATCATCTTTGTTCATTACTGTGCCAGGTACTTACGGCCTGTTTCACTGGGACTTCATATTTGTCCAGGATTGCAAACTGTTCATGGATGAGAGGAATCTGAGCCTCTGTCTTGGCCAAATTGCCCTGGAGAGTCTCCAAGAGCTTTAGGCTCTCACCAAGCTCCTCCAGTGTCTGGGGAGATTGCTGGATCCTAAACACACACACACACATACAAACAAACACAACAAAGAGTGAAAACACCTTTAGAGCAATACATTTCTCTTTCTGATCCTACCTTCATCATCTTCTTCTCTCAGTGACTGAAGCGACCATAAGTCAAATCAGTCACCTTTTAAATTTAATGGAAATAGCCGGTGCTTCTGCAACGATTGTGTGCACAAAAACTTACTGTCACTTCCTTGCATATCCGCACTTGTAGTATCAGTAAGTAGTCAAGTGCCTACTTCTATGACATTTCAGCAACTGCGCGAGTGTCGGGGCATTTGTAGGATTATCAGAGCAGGGACACACTTTTAATATGGATAACATGTCACTCCTGCAAACACAAATACTGCAGACTACGCAACACACTCAGGCTCTGATGATTTTTTGGGGGTACATTAGTAGAATCAGACATACAGTCCTACAGTTATAATCAGATGACAAAAGAAACCAAAAGTGAGAAACCAAGAACGAACCTAATTAATGAGGCAAATAAAATGGAGTTATCTAGAAGCACTACCACTGTACATACAACACATTATCACAGCCTTTGATAAAAGAATACATCTGATATGTCTAATATATTTATGTTACGCTAGTAAAGAATAAGGCTAGCATGACACGGTATGATATTTACAAGAATGAAACAGTATGTGAGGAAAGCTCTGCCATAATTCTAGTGATGAACAACGTATTATGTATGGCCTAAACATCTTCATGTCTGTTGATTTTAGGGCTCTAAAACCAGTCTTTGGTCCACTACTACTATTAACAACTCGACTGGTATACTAGTGGGCAGCAGACTGTTGTGAATTATAGGATTTGTTTCATTCTGAATGCTGTTTTAAACCAGTATTAGGAAAAGAGTGCGTTAAGTGCTTTTGATATTGTTCCCACATTGGACACACTTGTCACGGTGCTAAAAGAGATGTGCAAAATAAATGTAAGCTTCACAAGCCAGAAAAAAATTCAGCCCTGGTGCTGTGTCTCACCGAACTGAAAAGGGGCACAATATGAGACCTCTCAGGATTTACCCAAATTTCTGGAAAGTCAGTGCTCCCTCAGTAAATAATTAAATTTTCTGAGTCAAGCAACGTGGTGCTTCAAAACTGAATCAAATCATTTAATTATAAAGGGGTACCTGTGGTGTAACGCTTCTATTTTGTATTGCTCTTGGGTTATCATATTAACAAGAAAGCATCTACAGAGATGCGGAGTAACAGTCATGGAGTCCCAGAATAACAGATAGCAGCATGATGACATACTGCCACTGTGACATCAAATTGCCCCTCAAATGAAAATTCTACCATCTGACTCCTCACCTGTTGGTGTTGTCTTGCATGTAGACTTGAAGTTCTTTTAGTCGGGTGCTGGCCATGTCACTGAGAACCTGAGTAAGTTTGGTTTGCCATTCATTGCAGTGCTGCACCAAGGAGGACTTCAGCAGTGAACAATCCAGCATGACAAATCGAATGTTAAACACTGTCTCTTCCTGTTGTACACTGTTTGCATATTCTGCATAACTGGGAGAGAACCGGAGAATAAATATGACACAGAATTACAGATTAATGCATCTGCATACTTCATGAACGTTAACCAAAACTTAAAAATTTTTTTCAGAAGAATCAATTGCACAGTACCTTTGTATATCAGCATCAAAAGCCGAAACTGGTAGGTTAAGTCTTTGGCTGCGTCCTATGAAGGAGTCCTTATTGGTCTCCCAGATGTTCCTGTATTTGTCCCAAGTCTTCAAATAGGCCTGCAGATTACTGGCATTGGCTGTCATCCCTGCAGCGACTGCAGCCTGAATCTTTTTTATCTCCTCGTCTTGCTCTGAAGAATCAAAGAGGACCAGACATAACAGCAGAAGAACACACACACTGACATGGTTACATGTATACACACTGTATACACGTAAATGTTCTAACCTATGCTGACATGGATGGGATTCCCCTGAGACTCTTTGCAGGAGAGAAGTTCAGGGAGCCGTTTAAATTCGGAGATGATACTGATGAGCTGAGGCAAAATATTCACAATCTGAGCAAGTTTTCCAAGAGGTGGGGAGAACTCCACCTGTTGAAATAGACACACATTTTCTTACTTACAAGTTTTTCTTTTCATGACATGCAAAAAAAGGTCAAAGGCCAGGCAAAGAGATTAAGTGACAGAAAACTAACATTTATGCCTGTGTTTGTGTGTGTATGCTCTATGTTGTTTGAGCGGGACATGGAGCCATTTCCCTGTCCTATTATACCACAAATATTATGTGGTGTCATGTTTGCAAGGAAATCTTAGTCTGTAATGCACTTACCCTTGCAGTACAATGACAGGATAGAAGAGACTGTGTACATTTTCACATTGCATTCATATACTTATATACTAACATGTCTCAACATAGTGTAACCAAATTATTATCACATGACTTAACAAAAGGTTGTTCGCACCTTTGGGGAGGGTTGGGGAGAAGTCTGTCGCAGTGCCACAAGGACTTTGAACAAGGGACTGGGCGACGTCTTGCTATCGCCATTGATAGCTCTGGATAACTTCTTCATAGAGAGTTTGATGTTATTTCTGAGAGCTTCCTCGACCATGCGGTCAACCTTCTCTGTGTAGGTCACCCAGTGCTCCTGGACCTTAAACATCACAGAAAAAAAAAATACACACAAAACACAAAGGCTGAAACTTGAGCTGTGTCTCTCATTAAAGTGAAGGTGTAAAATGTTGAATAAGTCTATCTTTCAATATGGGAGAAAAATAAATTGTGCCTACTCAATGCTATAATGTTGAAAAATTCAGTTATCTTCAACTACTAGTTATGTGGGGCAATTTATTTATTTATTTATTTATTTTATCCTGACATTTTCAAACTCAAGCTTTAAACCACTGGTGCTGGATGGAATGGAATGTAATACACTTCATGAAGAAAGAAAACATACATCAGATCCATCATTAGCAAAGATGCTGTGGATCTGGGTCATGATATCAACAATATCCTGGTGTGCTGAACGCAGTATTTGGAGTTGGCGCTGCTGGTGAGCGTTCTGGTCATCCTCAAACTCCAGGTTCCTACAGAACAATTTTGTGAAGTTTAAAATCAAACGAAAACACCATATATACACAATATTAAATATATAAGACATGTCATAAGAAGTATCTTAGAATGAATTTACTGTATAAACATACTAAGTAATGAAAAGAAATCGCTTGTCTGTTGTTACCTGTACACAGTCTTTCCATCCAGTCCAACCAACAATGCTTCACTCATCTGGCAACAGAGGTTGGAGATGGATAGATTGGATGCTTTGTAACCATCAACTATTACCTGAACCTGGAGTGCGAAAGAGAGGCTGCTTTAATCCACTGTCATAATACCTTATACTTCTATCAAAACAGATAGTAAGAAAACTCAAGTAACTGCTGCTAACAAGTTAAGCCACAGAAACCTCCATTCAGTCTCTTCTTTAACCTATAGGTCACTGCTACCATCAGTCTGAATCTAAAAAGGCAGAATCTGTAAGAGGTGACCTGTTTGTTACAACCTTGTCAACGTGCAGGAGACAGTCACGGGCAAAGATGTTTGAGGCTCCTTTAAACGACCACAGGAGGCTGGTCAGACCCGGCTGAATCTTCTTATCAATGAAACGAATTCTCTCCCGAAACAGACCCAGCTCTTCAGGAGACAGCATTTCTATGATCCTGACACACAGACACACAATTCATAGGAGCGTTAGCTAAATGTGTTTTTACATACTCACTGAATCTTAGTGGAAAAGTCTAACAGTTGTCAACGCAGTTGAGTCAGCGTGTGTGTTTGTTAACATGTAGGTGTGTAAAATGATTTTAAATCTTCCATAAAGTCACACAGTACACTGTCAGCTGAGGGATGGAAAAAAAAAAGCTGTAAAAAGGCTTATGTACTGTATGTCCATCCTACATCATGTATCTATTTTTTTAATACAGCAAAGTTAAAAAGATTACTGTTGAAAATTGCAATACAATATGCAGAACACAAAAACCAAATAACAAAAGCAGTAAATAAAAACAAGGAATATTACTTCACATTCTACTTCGAAATGACATTTATCAAAAGTGCCACCGATACTTATTATCCATCATTGTTAAAATCAAGTGAATCACCCTACACAGACACCCATACAAAAAGTTAATGTGACTGTTGCATAGCACACACAATGATGATCTCATCTTCAAGTAATTGTAAAGTACGAAAAGAATTTACAATACTTTACATCATGACAATATAATTATATGTCAGACTCCTGAAATCTGAAATGGCTGTTTTGTGTTGCAAGAATGTTTATTGTGTGTGTGTGTGTGTGTGTGTGTGTGTGTGTGTGTGCGCGCGCCAGACCTGTCGTAGTTCCGTATCAGCAGCAGTACTCTCTCCCTCAAGCCTATTAGAGCTTCCCTGTCCTGGTAAATGTCAGAAGCACACTGGGGGATCTCAAACTTTAGTTGATCCCAGTAGTGGATCTCCGAAATAATATTCAACAGGTTGCTGGACAAGAAAACACACAAAAAACACAAAACATAGAATTAGAATGAGTCTACAGGTAGATCTCAAACATGCTGTTTGTGCAAGTCATCATAAAAAAAAACATCATTTGATTTGATCTTAACTTGAAGTGATTTGCAAGGAGGAGTAGGTGAAAATTAATAAAACTATAAACTCTTAATTGGCCACAAAAAAAGATTTGCAGACTGTGATATCCACCAAGGGGGGAGGCTATTAAGGTGGAAGAGTGCCTAAATGTTTGACAAGATACAATTACTGCTGTTATTTTCTATTTTTTAAGCTCATAAAATAAAAATCAACAGTAACTATCAGATACATTTTTACAGTTAAAGTCCTGTGCCTCTTGTGTGTGAGTTATGCATGCATCTGTTTGTTACATTTGACCCACTTGTCAAAGTTGATGTCCAGCTTGGGAATCTTGTCCTTGGAGCGCACCATTAGTGGTTGCTCCAGTTTCTTGAAGCACTGTCCGTCTAATTTCTGGCTCCACTCACTGAAGTGCCTCCTCTCCATCTCTTCTAAAACCTGGACCATCTGGGCATAGTCGGAAAATATCTGCTTGCGGAAGGGTGAGTCAGGCATGAAGTAGGCCTTTTGAAGCACCTGAAGCAGAAGAAAAGAGGACAAAAATGATGGAGGAACTCAAGGAAGGAGAACACAGTCTTTCTTTGCACACTCCTTTTGTGATGCTGTGAAGTAACCAACGTGTGCCAAAACTTAAAGGAGCAGATTATGTTAGTCTGAGGGACTCACCTCCATTGGTGTATCCACGCGATGTTTGAGAGCCCTCACCCAGTGGACCTGGCCTGCCATCCAGGGTATATGGTCAGGAGGAGACTGTATCCTCTGGTTCAGCACCTTGTTTACCATTTTGAGCTCCTTGTTGACAATGTTGTACACTTCCTCTGCTTTCTCTTCTGTGGAGTGCCTAATGGCCTGTGACAGAGAACATCATAAAAGCGAGAAGGAGTAGATGAAGTATAAAGGTAAGAAAAGACAAGCAGGTGCAAGACGAAGGTTTGGCAGGAAAGAAAATAGAGAATTTGAGTTTAACTCAGCCTTGTGTTGAGTGCAATTTACCCTTAAAATCTGGGCGCTGTCAAAGAGCACCAAATACAATATAATGAAGATAAACTACGCTAAGCCTAACATGGGAAGTCTCTTTGCTTCAAGTGATAGAAAAGGTAGTTCTTTATGAACTTTAGGGAGAAAAGTAACTTTAGTAGGTCTTAATATCCAACTTTGACCCTGTAATCTATATGAACTTGGGATGACAATGATTATTAGGTAAACAATTATTTGCTATTATATAGATTTAGCCAGTAAAATTATTAACTTATAATGCAGATTAGGAAGGACATGCATGTCAGAAATTGTAATATACATTGGTCGTAGTATCTGGTTGGGCCACCAGGTGGAACCTCTCACTGTTTCCTTAGTCTTTAACACAGTGGAGCAACAAGGAGAAGATTACTCTGACTAAGCGTCAGTTCCATGGTAGTGATTAGAATGAATTGTGGGGATTTAACGAACAACCATCACAGATACTGCAACAATTACATCTGGCCAGAAATCACACTTTCAAGACAAACATTCCTCTAGTAGGAAAATGTCACAAAGCAAGTCATTTGTTGAAATGAAAATGAAACTACCTGAAAGAATGTCTTTTGAACTTCATTCATGTGAGTAAACAACTGATTTTTAAATAATAAGGTTGCCAACTAGCAGTTAAAGACATTTGTTTTGGTTTTTTTTAAATCCCAAATACGAACTGTAAAGTGTTCAAGAAATAAAACATACAATGTGTTAAACTGAGTAACAATTGTTTTAAGTGAACGGCGAAAAAGCAAACCGAGAATTTCCAATGTATTTATGCGTGTGCGTGTTCGTGTCCATTCGAAAGAGACTCACCTCGCGTGTGGACATTGGCCTGAAAATATCCAGAAGCCGAACTCCCTCCTCAACTGTGTTCACCGCCTTAAATGCTAAATGGATCAGGTCCTGCATATTCCTTTCCAGACTTTTTACCAGGTCACAAAACCTGTGTGTACACAAACACACACACAGAGAACATATCCACATATGAAAATACCTGATAACACCAAAACACCTGCACTAATATCTACTAAAGCAGACAGATAAGCAAGAGCAAAATATTAAGACAGTGAGCATCCACAGATAACATCAGAAGAACCATTGGTTTTATTTTTAGAAGGCAACGATGGATGCTTTTATTGGGACATTATGTTATATTTCTGGTTTAACCAGTCACGCAACTCCTCTATCACCACATGTATGGTAACTGACCAATCATGTCAGTTGCATGGGCCCTATGTCCTCCTTAATATTTGTCTGTGGCCTCTGTCACAAGAGCAGTGCAACAAAAATGGGAAACGTGTGCCTTATCTACAGGTTCCTGCCAAGTCCTGTGCTCTCTATTGTCCATCCTGTGTAGTGCTCACGGATCAGACAACTCGAAAGGGAGGGGGAATGAAAATGGGCGAAAAGGGGGCAGTGTGAGTGGGACGGATATTAAATCTGGCACATGCTAAATATCTAAAATGCTACCTTGCTGAACGGCATGAATCTTTCCCCATGATTGCAAAACCCTAATTTAAAAGCTTCACTGTACTAAATGGGGCTGGTGGCCTCAGTCAGTTTTGTCGTTCCTAAGGGGCTGTTAGGATGCGGCCTAAGCAACTTGGGTGATTGAGCTGTCTCTCATTAGCATTGCTGATAGTGGAGCCACCGTGGTTTGTCAAACCAGAATGCATTTCTACCTCACTCAGTTGTCAGACAACTTGCCTTACCCTGGTAACCAAATGTTTTTTGTTGTTTTGGGTTTTTTTTCTTAACTTTGTGTAGTGAGGTAGAAAAACATCAACTTATGATGCAGCTGCACCATGGTAATTAATTTTCCATGGCTTTTTTTATGCAACAGAACATATTTTTCGATTTTTAATACATGCAAAATACTTCTTAGTCTTAATTTGAATGCGTTCAAAGACAGAGATCCACCTTTTGAATTCATTGTGCCATGTGGTATTTTTGACATCAAGGATGCCCTTGTCAACAGAATACAGGGACTGCAATCCACAATGGAAGCTGTTTTCTATCTTCAGGAGGGAGTGAGCGAACTCTGGTCCCTTACAACCACTGAAGCATGGCAAAGCCCTCTGTTGACCATCCTCCCAACGGGCAAACTGATGCTGGCAGTCACACACCTGAGACAAGACAAGAGCAAGTAATGTACCAAATGGCAAACAAAACATCTGATAACAATACATCATGTTTCAATATAATTTATTGGGAACAACAAAAACTGTTGATTTCAGTAAGTACTGGATCACAAGTAGCTGTTTTTAACATACTGAATGCTCAAGTATAGTATGCAGGTGTTACTGTGTTAATGTCTCGGTATGTGTGACTGAGGGAAAAAAGGGTTACCTCGAGCAGGTCTCTGAGCCTATTAATGAAAGCATCAATCACCACAAAAAACCTTGTCTTGTCAAGGATCCAGTCTTTTGGCGAATGTCTGATATAAAAGCAGAGAAGGGGATAGAGAGGGATGATCGGCATTGAGAAAGGAAATAGCTAGATGGAAATAGAAATGCAGAGACTGGCAGTAAATGCGGAGTGGAGAGCTCACTAAATGAAGCTCTTTTTTTCACATGAGCACTACAGTATTTGGAAACTGTAACTCCAGATGTCACAAATTTGTTAAGTGTTTCCAAGCCAAAAGCAGGTTGTTTTAGTGATATACAGCCATCCTTTGATTCATATCCAGTCTTATTGACACAGACTAGGTCAGTTCTGCTTCTGAGCTAAAAATCCTCCAGACCGTTTGAGTTTAGTTTTAACAACCAGTATGCAAATGCACCACCTCTGTGTAACAAACTACCACAAGATCGGAAGTCATCTCTGATCTAAGCTCTTTGAAATCAGGGCTTTTCTGTTTAACAATGTTCTTTCGAGGTCTATTTATTTCTGCATTGAAACCACTATTAAATTTTGCCCAACTTCACAACTGTCTCAAATAAATATTAATTCAGTTTTATGCTAAACCCAGCTAAAGGAGTAAATTACAACACTTGAAATCAAACACTTTTACTTAAGGAATTAAGGATTGAAGACTTTAAAAGAACTTGGATGAAAAGCTTCTATTTTTACTCTATATACAGGTAAAACAGCATTACTTTTGATTAATCTGTGAAGTGTGCAAGTAGATTTCCTTCCAGGACAGGCAGCATTGTATACAGTCGGAGAGATTCTGCTTGCTGGACAACACATAGCCCTCAAAAATCCGGTCCAAGGAGATGTTTTGGGAGCACAAGCGAATGATCTCATTGCTAATCTGCAACACAGCAGAAATCAAACACTGGTTACAAACAATAACACTAACATGATGCATCTTTGTTGGTCTTTCTTGCTAAAACAACCAGGCATAGTGAATTTATATTTTGGTAGGTGATAGGAGGTGAGAAGATCAGACTTCTGGTAAAGAAAACAAAGACAACATCAGCTGCAACTCACACAGAGGCAGCTCACTGCATAATGGTCACTACAGCAGTTATCACTCACAAGGCTTATTATTTTCTCTCCCTTTCTCTTTGGCATTTGCTGAATCACCCCAGTCAAAAGCGTTTCTCCTGCTGCCTTCGGTGATTGGAAAATCATATTAAATGAACCGCCGGGTTCCCGAGTGAGAAAAACACAAGTCACGCAACAAAGCACCAAACAATGCTGAATCAGAACATATTTACTTTGCATATCATTTACCCCTTTGCCTGTGGAGCTGTCAACTGAAATGAAAAGAACTGCTATGATGAAAGCACTGATCAGGTGTTTCATTTTTATACACTAAGCCTCAGAGTATTGCAGCTCTGGAGTCTAATAATCCAGGATGAGTTGGAGTGGGCTTCTGTGATGATGATGACGCCTCATCAGCCTAAACCAAATGTTGAGTTCGTTTACAATTGTATTGTCACCTCTTATATTTATGTAGCCAATCATCATCATCATCATCATCATCCATTAACTGTCAAAAAAAAAAAGAAAACGAAAATTTGAAGGTGTAAACATGCATACACATGCAAGAGTAACAGATTAGTAGAGAAAAAGAGGCACATTAAAGAAACCTGGTTTGAGTCCATACTCCCTATAATGTAGTAACGTCCATACCTGACGGAAGAGACAAGTGATCTGTTCACTGGTGTTATAGTGGATGGAGTTGATCCAGATGATGCGAATGATACTGATGATGTGTTCCAGCTTTGAGGCAACTTGGTTTGGCTTTAGGGTGGCAAGTTCCTCACAGGGGTCCTTCAGAAAGGACAGGTAGGTCAGGTTTGATTGGGCCTGCAGAGAGCAATCCTGGGTAGCACATAAAATAAGAAGATAATATTAATGATGATTCTTATTATTATAATGCTTTTGTCACATTAACAAGAATTTATGTTAAAATGTTCCAAGACACAAATTAAAATGGTGGATTTTTTTTAATTTTTGTTTTTTCAGACTTTTGTACCTGTATTTTCTTGGCCAGTGTGCAAAAGCGCTGTACAGGCAGAGTCTTGGCAAGCTGCAGGATGCTTTGGATGGATTTGACCCCTGGCTTTTGCAGCTGCTGGCAGATCTCCAACAGCTTAGCAGAGCGACTCTTCCAGAACTCTATCTCCTGCAGCGGACCACAGTCGTCCCTCATTTTCACTGTTTCTAGGGCATTCAGTTGCTCCTCAATCTGAGCGGTCCAGTGGATCATGACAACTAAAAAGGAAGACAAAGTGAATAGAGGAAAGGGTAAATACAGCTCGGGACAAATAAAGACAAGAGGAAAGACAAACAGTCGAGTGAATTGATAGAAGGATGGAAGGAGGAAATAAAACAAATTGTAAGCAATATTTGGAAATCACTAAGCATGATGAAAGAAATGCCTTGCTTTTAATGTTGTGTTGAACAGAAAGTCAAGGCATGTGAGTGTGACCTTTTTTGACACAGAGCCTACAGAAGCAGACGAAAAGACAAAACCACCTCTGTCACCCATTTATATATAATATATTTATAAAGGGCTTACTCTCCATTCTCTGCACCAGCTTCTTGTCCTTACTAGCCTCCTCAGGGCTGCACAGTAGACCCTCCACTGGGATGTATAGAATTGTGTTGTCAGACTTCTTAGACAATTCGTCTGTTTGAGGATAACATGGGAAAATAAATATTTCACGACAGCAGGAGCACAGGTAGATTAGAAATGCTTTTAGCTGGCTATGAGGGCCATACTGTACACACAATTGAAGTCAACATTTGTCTTGTGCTTTTTTATAGCTTCTATCACACAATCGTGGCATAGAGTGCAATGTGTATATGGCCTATAAAAATACCTTTGTCCTCCATTTACATACAGTGCCATGAAAAAGTATTTGCCCTGTTCTCGAATTCTTCTTTTTTTTTTTTTTTAAATATTCCCCACACCTAAATGTTTAAGACCGTCAAACAAATTTAAATATTAGACAAAGATAACCAAAGTAAACACAAAATGCAGTTTTTAAATGATGATTTAATGTTTTAAGGGAAAAAGCTGTGGCTACAGCTGGAGCTAATCACATTTTTTGGAAAGCTGAGTTCAATTTCACTAACCACACCCAAGCCTGATTACCTCCAGACCTGTCCAATCAAGAAATCACTTAAATAGAACCTGTCTGACAAAATGAAGTCAGCCAAAAGATCTCAAAAAGCTGCAACAAAATGCCACGATCCAAAGAAACTCAAGCACAGATGGGAAATAAAGTAATTGACATCTATCAGTCTGGACAGGGCTACAAAGCCATTTCTAAAGCTTTAGGACTCCAGCGACCACGGTGAGAGCAATTACCCACAAATGGAGAAAACATGGAACAGTGGTGAGCCATCCCAGGAGTGGCCGGCCGAACAAAATTACCCCAAGAGCAACAACGACTCATCCAGGAGGTCACAAAGAAACCAGGACAACATCTAAAGAACTGCAGGCCTCCCTTGCCTCAGTTAAGGTCTGTGTTCATGACTCAACAATAAGGACGAGACTGGGCAAAAACGGCCTCCTTGACAGAGCTCCAAGGCAAAAACCACTGCTGACCAAAAAGAACATAAAGGCTCGTCTTACTTTTGCAAACAAACATCTGTAAGATCCCCAAGACCTTTAAGAGAATATTCTATAGACTGACGAGACAAAAGTTGAATTTTTTTGGAAGGTGTGCATCTCGTTACATGTGGCATCAAAGTAACAACGCATTTCAGAAAAAGAACATCATACAACAGTCAAACATGGTGGTAGTGTGATGGTCTGGGGCTGCCTTGCTGCTTCAGGACCTTAAACATTAAAGCAGGGAAAATATGCAAAAAAAATAAGAATTTGAGAAAGGGAGCAAATACTTTTTCATGGCACTGTACATATGCAGGAAAGTCACCATCTTTTGCACCCATCAAATAGATACAGGATTCTGAGCAATAATGATCTTTAACCTAAGTGTAGTAACAGTGAACTGGGGAACTCTCTTTTCCTCTGAGGTACCCACCTGCAAGACTGGCAAGATAGCAGTGCATGTCGTTGGTGTAGCTGTCCTTCTCCCTGAAGGTGCTGACGGCAATCGCAGGAGCATGCAGACAGGTCATGTCATGAAACAGCCGCAGGACGGGGTTGCCTCGCACTGTGCCAAACTGTATAACTGCATCAAAAGTCTCTGGTGTGATTATGGCTCCTGGCGCACGGATAAAATAGGACAGCTGCTCCTCCCACTTTCCCTACAAAATTAGTTTTTAGTAGAAGGATACAAAGAAGGGAGTTGGATTAACAAATAAACCACATGGGGGAGAAGACAGCACTTCAGCTCTTTAAACAAGGTGAACAATGCTGCTCAGTCTTCTGGGGTCCTGACTATTTTTTCCTCGTTAGGGCTGCTATGTTTCGCTTCTCTATATACAAGTGTGAATCAGCAATGTAACATACAAGCAAAATAAAAATTCTTCCCAATGTGGGCTATTTGAATAGTTCACTGCAGCGATGCTACATGACATTACAAATAGTGACTGGAAAGACAAGTTTAAAGAACAAAGTTAGAGAACACATGCATAATAAACTACTTCATTCAAATGAATGTACTGATGTAAAGTGGGGAGTAAAATGTGCTGTACCCTTGGCATAGAGTACTCCACCCGAAGCCCAGAAGAATCCATGTAGACCGCCATGGTTGTAAACGAGATGTCTGCAATAAATTGATCCAAAGCTTTTTTATTCTTCTCAGTCCATGACTCCTCAGTTACTCCAGAAATAGCCACACAGCCGATAAACAACTTTGGACAGATGGGGAGAGAAAATATAGGGTCCAAGGAGAGAAGGGGGGAGGAAAAAATATTTATTTAGTGGGTTGATGTCTATGCACACACCCCAAATACAGGGAATGTATAAAAAAAAATACATCTAAAATACAATACGCAATCTGGCTTTACCTGACGAATGGCCTTAAAGTTTTCCTCTTCCATGTCTTCGAAAGTCTCCTCCATTTCTCCTCTCTGAGTTGCTGAAGCATGCAGCTACACTGAGGAAAACACACACCATACAGTGGCATGACCAGTTAGCATTTTGAACTTTTAGACAGTTATTTCAACCGGCGACATTCTTGCTGCGAGGCAACGGTGCTAACCACTGAGTCACCTTGCAGCCCAATACGTAGCTTACATCGTTTATAAAAAAAAAAAAAAAAAAAGCTGCGAGGCAACGGTGCTAACCACTGAGTCACCTTGCAGCCCAATACGTAGCTTACATCGTTTATAAAAAAAAAAAAAAAAAACCCAAACAGTATTACACTGATAGCTCGACGAACGCGAAGTCGAACACTTGCTTCTTCAAGCTAGCAAAAGTGGCACTTGAGTGCCCCAGACTAGCTTAAAACATGAAACGCAACTGACAAACTTTAGCGTCGTTACTTATTGTCTTTATCTTAAATAAGTGAAGCCGAAAAACACGACAAAAGAGAAGCGTTTTTTCCAACTTTAATGGAATTGCTACGACAACTTTATACGAATGCAAACTATTACGAAGTCATTTTTAACGAAAGCCAAGTTAATTTCATTTCATTCGCTTCTCTCCCTTCAGTCCTACCTGTGGCCGTGTATGCTTGTCACCATGGAAACGTTTGGTTGCCTGGGTAACTCCCAGGACGGCGCAAGTGTGGTACGGAAAAGCAGAAGTGCCACAAATCTGTTTTCGCTTATTTACGTTAAAAAAAACAACATACAAACAAACGAAAAACCCCACTTTCTGTGGTGTAGTACCAATATGACTTCTGTTAAAGCACGGTTGAATACTTTTATTAATAAAATTAGACATGACATCATTTGTATGCATTGTAACGGTTCCTAGTACTGGCATGCTGTGTAGCATCGGTAGACCAAATAAAATGTCCGCAAAAATTCATTGAATTAATTGCATTTAAGACATATTAAAAGAACTTCAAGTTATTCTGCATAGAAATTAAATTTGATCAGGAAGTAAATTATTATAAGATCAAGTTGTTCATCCTCACATTTTTCATTATTTTCTGTGGACATCAAAACAAGTTCAGCAAAATGCCCATTCCTACAGTTTTAGTAAAACTATGTTTCTTTGGTCATCAAAAATCTTTTTTATCTCGTGAATGTATAAAACGCCACTTTTTAAGAAGAATAAAGAAGGTCTCTTTTTAAAGCGCTATAGTGAGTTGTAATAAAACAACTTTTCACATCATCAAACGTTTTAAAACAATGCTTTTTGAACAACTCTTGTGAGTTACCATAAATCACCATATTTTAAGCCATCAAAAATGCAAGCCTTTACCATGCATAGCCGCTCAGCCGAAATGATGAGAGGCCTGGACTGATGGTCTAATACTTTTTAATCTCTCCTCCTTTTCTCATATTATTATATGATCAACGTAAGAGGTAGACAAAAATACACAACATCAATACATTGAATTTAACTAAGCACATTGCTAAAATTAGCCCACACTAAACATAAAACAAACTGATAATTAGACACAAATAAAGTTTTACCTTGTTGCCCTCTCCACTGCCGCTAAATTCATTAATCTCTGCCGTTCGCCCTTTTATATTTTGTCTCTTAACTTTACGTTGCCGTTACTATACCGTTGGCAACTACCGTTACATTTTTTCAGTTTCCGTAATTTCCGTCTGGTATCCCTTTAAAATAAAAGCACTTCCGATTAACGTTAACTAACGAAATTAAAAGCATAAAAAATTGATACATGACAGATTTAAGTTAACCCATTAACTAGTGAATTGGAAATAACAACATTCAATAACTACAGAATAAGTAACACTTGAGTTACTTACACTCCCACCAAATTATTTGGTGTTTTGCACAAAAATTTACTCAAAACATAAATAATTTTCCCACATGAAAAATGATGCAGTTCTCTTTACACCACCCTTCCAAAGTTGCCAAGCACATAACTCTGTGACTCCCCCCGAGGTTCTCCTGCGCCTGCTCTCTCTGTGGATGTCTCTGGATGTCTCTGGATCTGGAGCTCCTGAATTACAGCCGCTGGCCTCACCTTCTGTATCCTGCTCCCCCCACCATGATGCCTCCTGTTACAAAAGGACAATAAATTCTAATAACTTGTTTAACT